TATTTGTGGACTCTCAATTATTTTTCGCTGGCCTATATTATCTTTAAGGAGTGCTGGTAGCATAGTGGGTACAAGTTGGTCTGTTAACCTCATGGTCAGCAGTTCGAAACTACCAGCCATTCCATGGGAGAAAGATGTCTTTCTGCTCCCATAAAGATTTATAGCCTTGGAAACCCTATACAGGATTGGTATGAGTCAGAACCAACTCCACGACACATAACCACCACCAAATGTCTATCATTATACCATTACCAGACTATTTTGAAGGCTGTAGATTTATGGTACATTTTGTAGTTGGAAAACATGAGACTTCCTGTTTTGTTCTCCCTTTTTCACATTGCTTTGACTACTTGGGGCCATTTCAATTCTATGTAAATTTGAGGTTTATTTATTTATTTATGCAAAAAAGGCTGTTAAAATTTTGAGAAGGATTGTATTGAATCTTGATCACTTTGGATAGTATTGACCTTGTGACCATATTAAGTCCTCCAGTTCATGAACACAAAATGCCTGTCTGTTTATGTAGATTTGTAATTTTTTTTTTTCAGTAGCATTTTGTAGTTTTCACTGTACAAGTCATTCACCTTTGTGGTTAAATTTATCCCTAGCCATTTAATTTTTTTTTTAGATGCTATGCACTTAACAACAATGACAACAATAACATTGTAAATACAATTGTATTCTGAATTTTCCTCTCAGATTGCTTACTGCTGGTGTATAAACACCAGACTGAGCTTTTTGTGTATTGATGTACTTTGCTGAAAATCTAGTAGATTTCTTATGAATTCTTTGGAAATTTCTATATGTAAAATCCTGTCTTCTGCAAAAAGGGATAGTTTTCTTTCTTTTTAATTTGGGTAATTTATTCAGTTGGAAAACTGAACAGGGTTGTTAGATTCTTTCCATAGACTTTTTTGACTTCCCAGTAGCAACCCAAATAGATCTCTCTTAGCATTCAAGAGCCCTCTTCTGTCCCATCCTATTTCATGTAGAGGCCATGCACACTGAACTTCAACCAGTTGTGGTACTTACTGGATCAAATTCTATAACCTCTCTGAAACTTACTTTCTTTATTTCAGAATGTTGTTGTCATTGTTAAATGCTGTTGAGTTGGTTCAGACTCATAGTGACCCTGTACAGCTTTTCTGAGGAGCAACTGGTGGGTTTGAACTGCTGACTTTGTGGTTCTAAGTGACCTTGTGATCCAGTGCATTATCCTGCTGCACCATACCAGGTCTCCTTATTTCAAAATAGTGACAGTATATTCTTTTTGTTTTCTCATTTTTTAAAGATTCAGATTAAAGTAGCACAATTACGTGATCATGTTGTTGTTGTTGTTGTGTGCTGTCAAGTTGGTTCTGACTTATAATGACCCTAGAGTGGCTGGTAGGTGGTAGGTTTGAAGTGAACCACCTTGCAGTTAGCCATAGTTCAGTGCTTATGCTACAGTGCCATATCAGGGTTTGATTTGCACATAGTAGATGTTTAGTAAAATGGAAATTATTCTCATTGCAAGCATTTTGTTAGTTTAATACCCATTTGACCCTTGTATCTGCTATCCTATCCTTACTTGTCTAGTTTTCACACCTATGAGGGGACTTCAGAAAGTTTGTAAATGATGGAATTAAAAAATAATTGGCTTTTTTGCAATGGATTTGCCGCCAGAACACAGGTGTTGGTGAAAACCATAGCAAAACCTAAGGCAAAATGAGAAAGGAAAAGACCCACATCAACATCGTCGTTATTGGGCACGTCATTTCCGGCAAGCCAACCACTACTGGTCGCCTGGTCTACAAATGTGGTGGAATCAACAAAAGAACTATGGAAACATTTGAGAAGGAAGCTGCTGAGATGGGAAGGGCTCCTTTAAGTTTGCCTGGGCCTTGGATAAACTGAAAGCTGAATGTGAGCGATGCATCACCACTGATACCTCCCTGTGGAAATTTGAGACCAGCAAGTACTATGTGACCATCATTGATGCCCTAAGACACAGAGACTTTATCAAAAACATGATTACAGGAACCTCACAGGCTGACTGTACTGTCCTGATTGTTGCAGCTGGTATTGGAGAACTTGAAGCTGGTATCTCTAAGAATGGTAGACATGTGAGCATGCCTTTCTGGAGTACACACTGGGTGTAAAACAGCTCATTGTTGATGTTAATAAAATGGATTCCACTGAGCTACCCTACAGCCAGATGAGATATGAGGAAACTGTTAAGGAAGTCAGCACCTACATTGAGAAAATTGGCTACAGTCTTGACACAGTAGCATTTGTGCCAATTTCTGGTTGGAATGGTGACAATATGCTGGAGCCAAGTGCTAACATGCCTTGGTTCAAGGATAGCAATGCCAGTGGAACCACATTGTTTGAAGCTCTGATTTACATCCTGCCACCATCTTGTCCTTGTGGGTAAGTGGAGACTGGTGTTCACAAACCAGGCATGGTGGTCACCTTTTGTTCCTGTCAACGTTACCACTGAAGTTAAATCGGTTGAAATGCACCATGAGGCTTTGAGTGAAGCTCTGCCTGGGGACAGTGTAGGCTTCGATGTAAAGAACATCTCTGCCAAAGATATTCACCATGGCAATGTGGCTGGTGACAGCAAAAATGACCCAGCAATGGAAGCAGCTGGCATCACTGTACAGCTGATCATCCTGAACCCTCCAGGTCATATCCGTGCTGGATATGCACTTGTGCTGGATTGTCACGCAGCTCACATTGCTTGCAAGTTTGCTGAGTGCAAGAAGATTGATT